TAGATATATACATGTTCTTACGCCTTTGTTAAAAAAATATTAATATGGGCCTTCAATTTGTACTGCTGATGATGGGTCAAGCAGCGAAGCCCCTTGCGGGACGGTCGGTGGGATTTTTTGAAAAATAATACTTCTGTTTCTATGGGAAAACTTCACGATTTGATAACACTTATCAACATAATCGTGCTTTTGGGATTTTCAAACCCGAAGATTTTCTGCATCGGAACAACCATTGTTTCACTGTCAAACATGATCTGCTATCGTACTCCCACGGATCATCATGTCAACGATTGACATATGGATTTCGTAAAATCCTTGCAGCAACAAATCGATTGAAAAATAGATTAACAAATTAACATATTAATCATTGCGGTTATCGATTCGAACAATGATATCATGCATATTTTTTTAAAACGATAAAACTAGAACATGTATCTCATACATATCGTATCAACCAAGAATTTAACCCAATTCGGATCGTACAATTGGCTCTGATACCACCATTGGGACCGTCAGCGCACCCCACGGCATAGCAGAAACAAAATTCGACTATCTCACCAGCGATCCAAGTACGTAAAACCAAAATTGGGAGGAAGAGATGTGAATACTTACAGCGGGTTCCTTGAAAAACAACAAGGACAACAACGAGAAGTGATGATCACGAACTGTTGAATCAAAAGCCTCCACAAAAACACGTCTTAACATCTACTTAGTTCAGCCGATTGAGAGCAAAGTTTTCTTTTTCCCAAAATCTGTTTTGAGAAAACGGCTGAAGTGAAAAATGGCTGCTAGACCTTGCCTCCTTTTAAATATATAAATTACCCTAACATCTTAGGGTTTTTAAAGTTATTTCGAATTAATAAATAAAATATTATTTAATTAATTCAAATTAAATATACATTAAAGACTTATAATCTAAATTACAATCTTTAATGTTTATTTAAAAACTTAATTAATTATTCAAAATTATATATATCAATTAAAAGAGTTGTAATCTAAATTACATTCTTTTAATGCTTACTTACTATATTCGGGATAATTAAAATCATATGTATATAAAATATATATATTTTAACTATAGATATATTTTAGTAACATATAACAAATTGTACATCTTTGCTCATTTCAATCCTAGTTTGTGACCCTGTAGGTTCTTGTAACTTTAGTAGTAATTATTAGAACAATTTTAATATTATATACAATGAGTGACATCTAGCAATATATCATTGTTACCTAAGTTACAAGAAATTATGATTCGACATATCATCTCCGTGAGTAACTCTTTTATGTATTACATCATTTTTTCCTTTATATCTATAATAGACACAAGTCTTAGAATAGTCACAATTGTATATTCTTGCTATCTAGAGTAGACTATAATTAATAAATAAGTTGTGTATCACATATCAACTTATTTGAGCATGACCATGCATTTCTAGTCTCACTCAATCAAGTGGCCTGTGATATATTTCCTATTATGTAGGAAGGACAAATCTTATCTTAACCATATACACCCCACTAATATATCGAGATATATTCAATAACTGTCTTTATAGTGCAACCAGTTACAGAGCATGTTTAACTGTATCAAAACATACAACAATATATGTTGGGATGATATTGATCTCAAGTCTGAGGATCATACATATAGTCATCACCATGAGCAATGTTATGACCGTTACATAATAATCCAAGACATATGCTCATGATGGGTCAATCCAATACATTGTTCTCTAACAATATAATAATGTATCAATTCTGACATCTTTATGTCAATGACAACTCCTTGTCATCAATCAATAACATGTTAGTCTTAATCGTATTATTATTGTCCATGCTCATAATAATACTTGACTATGGATCTTTTAATAATGTTATTATATGGACTTCATTATCTTTCAGTTTATGTTAAACACAAACATATAACTGAAAATAATATTGGCAATGCCTTTATTCAATAAAATCGGTAAATAAATGTATTATTTCAATCATCATATGATTGGTCTTTGGGCATACTCTAACATGTTCAATAGTACTTTGTGTCAGTCATTTCTCCAAGTGCTTCATCCATTGGTTCTTGTCCATCAATTCATGTAGTCTTTGCTTCATTCTCTTTATGTTGATCTTCTTGTTTTTTAGATTCCACCAAAACACCTTTCTAGTCCCTCTTTCACTCTATGAAGTGTTTTCAGCATCGACCCCGGGTTAGAGTTCCATAGCCAATTTACCTCCGCCTCGTAATTTTCTTCCAAGATCCACGAAGCTTCAAACCTGAATTGCCAATGTTTATCCTCTCTTTTTTGCCTCGGGTGTCTATTAGCAATGGGCAATGATATGATATTATGTTAAATGTGACAGCCTATATAATGGAAAGTTTATGAGCCATCCACTATTTGCTACTCCTCTATCCAGCCTCTCTCTAATATTATTCTCTGCTAGCCTTCCTCATTCTCATGTGAGCCAACTTCCCTAGAAACCTACATCCTCAAGTGCGCAATCCTCTAAAGCTCGTCTAAATACATTCATTGTTTTTCATTCCTTATTGATCAATCCAACTTTTTTCTTTAATTTTTTTAACTGATAGCGATATCGATTTTAATGTTGTTTGCTGCCCACTGATTATCTTTTTTTAATAAGAATAATTATGTCTTTGTGACATGTTATCTACCTTTATGACATGTTTCTCTTTGCCTTTGTGACATGTTTTTCTCTTTCTTTTGGTAATTTACAGTTTTTTACCCTTTTTTATCTTTTTTCTCAAGGTTGGATTTGACATCGTCACGATTGATCAAGATTGCGGTTATTTGTTATCATGATGATCTTCTCTGCTTTGGACCCTCATATTGATTTAGATACGCGTTTTGTGTTTGTGGATAGTTTTCTCACGTCGCTTGACTCTTATTTTTAATTTGTCGGTGGTCTTTCAGTAGCTTCATCATTTTTTGTGTTTCGTTTACAAATGCAGTCATATTTGTTCGTATCTTTATTTTATTCGAGTTTTTTGGTTAGTTTTTTTAACATTTTCCTTCTTTGGTCCTTATGCGATCTAGATGGCTAATTTTTGTCTCAATGATAATAGGAAAATGTCACAAATATATTTTAGGTTTACGGTTATGGTTTTAAATATTCATTGTAATTTTGGGTATTTTCTATTTTTAATAAAACTAGCGGCTTTCTATAAAAAAAATTAAATATAAGGTTTATAATTTAGGGTTTTAATATTATTAATTGTTTGATTAAAATGTTAGAATTTATCACCTTCAAAATTATTTTTAGGCAAATTTTTTGAATAATATATTGAAAAAAATCATATAAAGTGTATGAAAAATTATATTTTAATTAATGTGCTTGTTACGATATTCATTGGAAGTCGTCTGAAATATATAATCATTTTTACAAGTCGTTTTGATTGTAGGACGTTTTTTGTGCCTCATACATAGATAATAGTAGAGATGGTTAGTGACGCTCTAAAAATTATCGAGTGAGAATTTAAATAATTTTTAAACAGATATTATAACAAACATCCTAATTGAAAATGCAAAATCTTTACACCATATGTGACTATTTTTTAACACATTATTAGTATACTTTAATCCATTTCTTTTATAAAATTTTAAGATGACAATAAGGGTGCATTTGGTTCACGGAATAGAAGATTATCAGTGGGAATGTAAGATTATCATGAAATAGGATTATTGGGAATGTTGTATTTTGTGTTTGGTTGGCTTAGCAGGAATGTAAGATTACCGTGTTTGGTCAAAAGAATAAAAACTTATTGGAATGTATATTTAACCAAATTATCCTTATTATATTTTTTAACAAGTTGAAAAATATTTATATATTTTCTTTAAAAAATTTAAATTCATAAAATTTATATAATTTTTTTTACAAAATTGAAAATATAAAAAGGTTTAATGAAAGGGTAAAATTTTATTTTAACCCTTGAACTTCATATAAAATTTTAATTATAGATTTTTTTTGTAAATCTAAAATAGTTTAAGGATAAATTTGTAATTTAACATTCGTAGAATTTTTATTATTAATGACAGAAAAAATATTTAAAAAAATTAAGGGCATTTTAGTCAAAATGTCGGAATCCAACAATACCTAAGGAAAAGAGGTAATGACATTCCCGGTAATATATCCAAAAAATCTACTATTGATAATCTTGTATTACCGGGAATAAGATTCTCGGATTAACCAAACGAAGAATGTGAATTTCATTATCATAAAAATCTCATATTCCCCGTCCAAACGCCCCTAATAGAAAAGAATACCTCAACCTAAAAAAAGTGTGTGGTTAAGCAAGAGGACACCATCACCGTCTCTTCGGCAAGGGCATGCGCTTGAGATTTGTGGTTAAGAGTTAGGAGGAGTATCGTTTTCCCAAAGAAATGGGGCTCTTTTACTTTCCGAACAAGTAATTAGATTTTACACCGTATATAGATTTTTCATCTCTTTTTCGAGTTAATTGTCCTTGTCTCGTTGAACGATTCACCAGGGCCACTAGCTTTGTTTTCTCGCCTTGTCACAGCTATAATAGCCACAATCCCCTCCCAAATACAAACCCACACCTTTTCCCTTTGCCTTCACTCCTCTCTCGTCTATATATCCCTTCTTCTTCAATTTTCCAATCACCCCACCCTACCAGAAAAAGTTGAATTCGAAATTGCTTAATTTCCTTACTTTTTTTAATGCACTCCAGGTGTTCGATAAAAGTCCCATATTGGAATTTTTTTAAGCTGAGGGGATTGGGTGTTTGGTTAATTTGGTTTTGAAGGGGTAATACCCAGGGTTAGACAAATTGTGTGCATCACGGCTATACACGGAGTTTCTTGGCCTGTTAGTCATGTCCTTACTGTTCGACGTAAGGGTTGTGTGATCGAGAGCAACCCTTCGCCGCACGGTGGGCGTGGAGCTTTACCTTCCGAAGGCGGTAGTCCTTCTGATCTACTCTTCCTTGCTGGTGGTGGTATTGGTTTTAGATTTTCGGTAATATATAGATAACTTTTAGTCTATATAAAAGAAAATCCATTGAAGCTTGTTGAGATCGCTCGTAATAAGAAGAAGAGGCTGTTGTTTTCCTTTATTTGATATTTATTGGATAAAGAAAGAAGATAAGTAGTAGCAAAGATGATGCTCAGGATTAAGAGGGTTCCCACTGTTGTTTCGAATTACCAAAAGGATGAGGCGGAGAATGCTGGTCGTCGTAGCGGCGGATGTGGAAAGAATTGCCTTAGAAGCTGTTGCATTCCAGGTATTTGTTAATTTTCCTTTGAAAACCTTGCTTGGTTTGGTACGTTTTAATTGAAATGAGGTTTAACTGTATCTGGGTTTTGGAATATAGGAGCAAAGCTTCCTTTATATGCTTTCAAGAAGGTGAACAATATGGAGCTTGAAGAAGACGTTCTTAAAATTGAGAACAAAGAGCCCCCAGTTGCTTTTCTTGACTCACTCGTTCTTGGAGAGGTAAATTTTTATATTAAGCTCTTGGTGAATGGAATCAAAGATGGTTGTTATGGTTAGTAATTTTTATATTACAAATTGTGAGGTTAAAATATAATTTTGGTTTTATGTTAGTGGGAGGATCGGATGCAAAGAGGACTCTTTCGCTATGATGTCACTGCCTGTGAAACCAAGGTCTCATTTTGGACTCCATTTTTTATTTCTTTGCTTCATTTGTTTACCTGCCAATGTTTAAACTAGAAATTTCTGGTTAATTGAGTTGTTGGTTGTGGTACCATGAAAATTTTCCATTGTTATCATTTTTTTGATCGATTTCCATTGTATCATTGTTTAGGTGATTACTGGTGAATATGGCTTTATTGCCCAGCTGAATGAGGGCCGTCATCTTAAGAAGAGGCCAACTGAGTTCCGTGTTGATACAGTACTTCAGCCATTTGATGGCAACAAATTCAACTTCACCAAAGTTGGACAAGAAGAGGTACTCTTCCAGTTTGGAGCAAGTGAAGATGGTGAAGTTCAGTTCTTTTCAAATGCTCCCATTGACGTCGAAAATTCTCCAAGTGTGGTTGCCATTAATGTAAGTTAGTTTTACTTGTTCAGTGTAGAGAACAATTCACTCCCGTTCACCATTGCTTATTAGAAGTACTTTTGGGGCCAAAAACACTTTTGGAAACATAAGCAATGTTAAACAGATCATTTTGGAGAAAAATGCATTTGAAAAGTGGTTTTCTATCCAAATGTAAAAGCTGAAAATTTTAGCTTTTATACTTGGAAAAGTACTTACGGAGTCAAATTACAGTTTTAAATTTCCTTTGCTATCCTTTAGCATATTTATTTCACAATTTATAATTTTATATTTTTTTATCAATACATGATTATATGATTAATAAATTATTTATTGATTTAAAATTTTTAAATCTAATCATACCAATTTTTTAGATAAAAAATATTTTAAATTTTATATATTTTCATGGAACAGTATAAGTATTACAGATTATTTTTTGTATACGTTTCAACAGGTTAGTCCCATTGAATATGGACATGTGCTGTTGATCCCTCGGATTTTTGAATGCTTTCCTCAGAGGATTGATCGGGAGAGCTTCTTGCTTGCACTTTATATGGCAGCGGAAGCCGGGAATCCATACTTCAGATTGGGTTACAACAGCTTGGGCGCATTTGCTACAATCAATCATCTTCATTTCCAGGTATATGATTTCCTTATCTGGTACTTTAAGATATAGTTTTATACCAGTTAGAAAGGAAAAGGTTTTAACTATGTGAATCGGTCCAGGCTTACTATTTGGCTATGACCTTTCCCATCGAGAAAGCTCCAACCAAGAAGTTAACAACTTTGACCGGTGGAGTGGTTGTCTCAGAGCTCTTAAAGTATCCAGTGAGAGGTCTTGTGTTCGAGGGTGGTAATACTCTACGGGACTTGTCTAAGACTGCATCTGATGCTTGCATTTGCCTCCAAGAAAACAACATACCGTACAATGTCCTCATCTCTGATTGTGGAAAGCGGATCTTTCTCCTCCCACAGGTAACAAACTAGAACTGTATCAATGCAATTTTACCATCCACGAGAAATTGCTGGTTCTTACAATCAACTTTGCAACAGTGTTATGCTGAGAAACAAGCCCTCGGGGAAGTGAGTCCGGAGATTTTGGACACCCAGGTGAACCCAGCCGTGTGGGAAATTAGTGGTCATATGGTGTTAAAAAGGAGGAAGGACTATGATGAAGCATCTGAAGAAAATGCTTGGAGGCTACTTGCCGAGGTTTCTCTCTCTCAAGAGAGGTTTTGCGAAGTCAATGCACTTATTTTTGAAGCCATTGCGGGCAGTGAAGATGTTATTGGAAATGGCACTGAGACTTCAATTGAGGCTCCTTCACTCAAAGAAGACGATGCCATTGCTGAAAGCTCCCACCGGGGTATGGTGTCTGGCACTCGAGAGTGCCTTGTTTTGGAGTAACAAGCAGAACTTGTAATATAGCACTGGCCCTTTCTGGGGTTCAGAATTTTGGTGTCTTCTGTCCAGGACTACGATTGTGTTTAGAACCTTTGTTACTTGGATTCAAATGGGGGTGTTCGATTCCGAGTTGTATCTGACACAGGTATGGTTTAGAATTTTTTCGTGTTTGGAGGATTCTTGGAGTTCAAATCCTTGTCTTCAACTCCGTGTGTCAAAGACGAGTATTGGCTTGGACAAGTTTTTCAAGAAAAATAGAGTCCGAGTAACATAATTTAAAACTTGGCAGCCTAAGCAAAATTGAATTTTGCAGTGCTGTGCTGTAAGGGTATTCCTCTTTTGTAAACTTTATGCTTATTTGCTCCATTACCATGATAAAGTCTATTAGATCATGTAAAATGGAATGGCTTGTTATGAGCTCTAAATACATGTATGTGATTGTGTTTAAATTCTTGTTTATTTTGCTGCTGATTCTTGGGTACCCAATCAACCAGTGATGGAGCCAGGATTTCAACTCGAGGGGGACAAAGTATAAATTTTCTAAAATTAGAGGGGCAATTTCATAGTATCCCATTTGAAAGAGGAAGAGCTTACCTTAATTAAGACGTCTACTGGCTCGGCTGGCATGACATTGAAATAGGGTGCTTAGCTTAGAACTCCAATTGGGCTTGTCACTCACTCGATGCGCTTACTACTAGAGGAGTTTAGCTTTTTTCTGCAAGAGGATAAATGGGAAAAGGAATTGAACTGGCTTAAAATCTCAAAGCAAATAGCTTAGGCTTTTGACTTATCCCTCTTATCCATAGCTTGCTTGAAAGACTAGTGATTTTGCTAAAGAACTAGCTTACCTGGGAAATTCTTTAGCTATTTAGACTAAGGGGAGAGCAGGTCTTTCCGTTAGAAAGGGTATATTTAAATTTTATATAAATTAAAGGGAAAAAACAAATTTTTGGTTGGATTGTTTTGGAGGTTGTTTGGGGGAGGGGAGGATAGCCCCTCTCAAGCCCTCAGTGGCTCCGTTCTTGCAATCAACCTTTCAGATAAAATAATGAGTTTATTTATTACGGTGTTGTCATAGCTGATTTGATAGAGGAATTTAATTATTTTTTAAGAATATTTAAATATTTAATTGATATTTTATAAAATTTGTGATTTATTTTTATTTAAGAACAAAAGAAATTATTTAAGTATTAAAAATTAAAATTTATTAAAACAAAATGCTATTAAAAATTTTAGAAAATGAATAAAAAATTAAAATATCACAAACTATAAAATAATAAATTATTAATTATTAAAATGGTAAAGTATAGTAATAGTCACTAAACTTTTTAAAAGATTTCATTTAAGTCCCCCAACTTTTAAAACTTATAATACAGTCTCCCAAAATTTAGTTTGTTTGCAATATGGTCCCCCAACAGTTACGTCAGGGACCATATTGCAAACGAACTAAATGTTGAGGGACCATATTTTTGGGAAATAAATTGAAAACGAGTAATTTCCCTATAACCATATTAGTGAGAATGAGAAATAAAAGCAGAAAAATAATACCTAAAATTGATAACGGAGTTCAGCCAATTATGCTTACGTCTCGACTACTGCAGATCTTTCACTAAGAGAGAAAATTTATAGGTGTTTACAAAACATTCACTACTCACAAGAAAACTCTCTAGTATTGAGAAAAAGAAATGATTTGGGATAGTTTTGAAGCTAAATGAGCTAGGGTATTTAAAGTTGAAGCTTAAGGACTTAATCTTGTAAATACCTTAAAGCCTAGGGATTAATTGTGATTATCCCATTATCATTTTTTAACAAACATCTACCAAACTTTGAAAAACTATTTTTCAAAGAATCATTTACCAAACTTTGAAAACCATTTTTTCAAAGTTGGTTGCCAAACTTGAAAACCATTTTAACAATACTTTCAACAATCTCCCACTTGAAGGTTCGATCGATGCAACAACCTTTCTAGTCTTGTTATTCTAGCATGCCAACTGAAGCTGAACACAACTTCAGTTTGTCCGTGGTCACCGTCTTTGTCAACATGTCTACCGGATTTTGAGCTCCACTAATCTTTTCCAGTTTCAAAATCCCATATTCCAGAAGAGACCGGATAAAATGATATCGAAATTGTATGTGCTTCATCCTAGAATGAAAAGACGGGTTCTTTGCTAGATGGATAGCACTTTGACTGTCGCAATACAAGACATTGTTTTCTTGTTTCTTGCCTAACTATTCTAAGAAACTTTAAAGCCAAACCATCTCCTTGCTGGCTTCCGTAACATCGACATATTCTGCTTCAGTTGTGGAGAGAGAAACTATATTCTGTAGTTGAGAAACCCAACTCACTGCAGTTCCTCCTAGAGTATAGACATACCATGTAGTTCTTCTTCTGATGTCGATATTTCCCGCTAAGTCAGCATCTACATAGCCTGTCAGTATCGTATCTCCACCTTTGAAACAAAGTGATTTGTTTGTAGTACCCCGTAGATATCTAGTGATCCATTTAACAGCTTCTCAGTGTACCTTGCCTGGATTATTCATGTACCTGCTAACAGCTCTCACTACATGAGCAATATCTGGTCTAGTACAAACCATGACATACATTAGACTTCCAATTGTTGAGGCATACAACACCTTCACCATGTGTGCACGTTCTTCCTCCGTCTTTGGTGACTGTTCTTTGGAGAGTCTAAAATGAACACCTAAAGGTGTACTTACTGGTTTAGCATCTTGCATGTTGAACATGGAGAGTACTTTGTTGATGTACTCAGCCTGTGATAACATCAAAGTCCCTGACTTTGTGTCTCTCTTGATCCTCCTCCCAAGAATCTGCTTTGCAGCGCCCATATCTTTCATTGCAAATTGCTTCGACAATTTTTACTTCAAGTTTATAATCTTTTGTATGTCTGAACCTGCAACGAGCATGTCATCAACGTACAACAATAAAATAATGAAGCTGTTGTCGAACTTCTTGATGTAGCAACAATGATGTTCTTGGCATCTGGTAAAACCACTGCTACTCATGAAACTATCGAACTTCTTGTACCACTGTCTAGGAGCTTGTTTTAAACCATACAAGCTCTTCTTCAACCTGTATACCAGGTTTTTCTTACATGCCTCTATAAAGTCTTCTGGCTACCTCATATAGATTTCTTCCTCCAAATCACCATGAAGGAAAGCTGTTTTCACATCTAACTGCTCAAGATGTAGATTCTCTGCAGCTACAATTTTCAACACCAGTCTAATTGTAGATAGCTTCACGACTGGAGAGAAAATTTCATTTTAGTCAATACCTTCTTTTTGCTGAAAACCTTTGACAACCAATCTTGCTTTGTAGTGTTTGCTCCCATCGTACTCTTCTTTGATCCTGTAAATCCACTTGTTATGGAGCGCTTTCTTGCCTGGTGTTAATTCAGCTAATTCTCACGTCTGATTTGACATAAGCGAGTCCATCTTATCTTTCATGGAAGACTCTCACTTGACTGAATCCTCCACATGCATTGCTTCATCATAGCACTCCGGTTCACCATTGTCAGTCAGCAACAAGTAGTGCAAAGAAGGCGAATAACGTTGGGCTGGTTTAGGAATTCTGGAGGAGCGTCTTAGTTCTAGTGTGCATGGTTCTTCTTTAGTGCTCGACAATCTCTTTTAAAGTGACCCTTCTTGCCACAATTATAACAGGTAAAATCTTTATTTCCCGTTCTTGATTTTCCCGTTCTGGATTTCGATCTGCCACGATTTGAATTTCTTTTTGAAGTTCTCCCTCTAGACTCCGTGTGCAAGGCTAATGAGGTTGATGCTTCACCCGATTCTCTCCGTCGAATTTCTTCGCTCAATACCAGATCCCGAACATCGTCGAATTTTAATTTGTTGTTTCCCGACGAGCTGCTAACTGCTGTAACAGTAGCATTCCAACTGTCTGGTAGAGATGATAAGAGAATTAAAGCTCGAACTTCATCATCAAATTCAATTTCCACGGAACTCAACTGGGTTGTGATTGTGTTGAGTTCATTCAGGTGTTGAGCTACTGATACCCCTTCCGCCATCCGCAAATTGAATAATCGCCTCATCAAGTGAACTTTGTTTGAGGCTGATGGCTTCTCATACATATTGGAGAAATCCGCCATAAGACCCGCCGTGGTCTTTTCCTTGTGTTGGAAGCTATTGAACTACAAGTTGGAGTGGCCTTATTTTCAAAGTGGCAAAGAAGTATGTGGCCATATGAAGAGCTTCGGCCCTCAGTTGTCTGGTTGAAGACAGTTGAATTTCTTTGGAGACAAATGTTCTATAAAAAGATACATAAAGTAGCAATCTTTGATAATCAGAAGTATCAGAGGCCATAGCATTGGTATGAATCCACTCGATAAAAGAGAGATGATTTCACAGTGCACTCAAATGGTTTAGCCATGAACTTTTAATACAAACATGATTTTTAAAATGAATTCTCCATGGGCTTATATGATAAAATAAAATCGAAATTTATTTGAGCCAGCCCAAAAAATATTTTCTTCTTTGGGCAAATTCTCATTTCACCACCAAAAACTCCCTTTGCTCTCTCCTTTGTCGATCGCCGTCACTCCCTCTTTGCTCTGCCGCAGTCTTTCTGCTTTTCAGTCCCTGCCACTGCAGATTTCACTCTTTCGCAGGTGATTCCACCGCCAGGTACGGTTCTTTCTCTTTTTTATGTTAAATTTCTTTTAATTCTAATATGTATTCTTTTGCTTCTGTTCTTCTTGAAACTCGTTTAAAATTCTCGTCTATTCCATTTATTTTTATTTACCCAGATCCCCCAATTTGGGTTAAAAAAATGAGTTTTGTTTTGATTTTGAGTTCTTGAGTCTATTTTTTTTATTTGGACATTTATATTATGTGTTTGCATTACTTTGTTGGATTTCATAGTTACCCTGTAATAACCTTGTTTATGGCTTGTTGTTTTATTAAAGATGAAGAAGGGATTGCACCCTCAGATGCAGTGGATATCTTATGTGACCCCAAGTGGTCGATTTATTAACTTCATGATGACAAAAATACATAGTGTCGGTAAAGTTTATCATCTGAGGGCGAAACGTCAATTAGCTGCAACTGAAGGACAGATTGCTAAGTTCAACCGCCGCTATGGGCTGGAGAAGCAGGATGACACGGAGCACTCGGAGAAAAATGATAAATGAATTATGCTTGTTGGTAACGCAATGTTGGGTATTTGTCATCGAATTAGGCACCTTTGCTATCGAATAACTTGAGCTTTGTTCGATAATTGAAGCTCGTTTAATCTTTAGAACTTCCCCTTTTTGATACAATAGTGTTTCGATTGTGGTTTGACCATCATTTGTTTGATGCGTTGCTGCTTTAATATAGCTTCATTTCTCGGGTTTTCGTTCCTTCTTTCCTATGATACATACTTAGCATTTGATACATTGATTGGAAATTGAAGGTTGAATATTATCCACTTGTATGTTCATGGGAATTGGTTTTTCGACGATCATGTCTGGTTGAGGATAACTACTAATATGGTGCAATCGAGACCCATGATTGATTAGCTTATTCTTCACCTTATTACATGCTTTTGATGAGACAGTACTTAAATTTGGACGTCGTGTTGTTGGATCTTTTGTATTGTGTAGTGTACTTTGAACTTTGAATGATTAACTTGAAGCTGGTAGTTGTTCCTTTGATCTTGATTTTGTGGTTATCTGTTGATGTGTACTTTCTTATGTGTGCCGAATTATATTTTTGGATGGCTTATAAATTCGTTAATGTCTTGAGTTGAACTTTGTCGAAGAATGTGATCTGGTTTTTTGTTGTAAGTTGAAACTAGCCAACTTTTCTAGTTTGTATATCTTGTAGGTTTTTTCAGGTTCATTGAAGCAGCGGAGTTACTGCATCCTTTCCGTTTCGGTAAAACCATTATCTAAAACCAAATAAAGGTAAGACCTTCCTTTCAATGAGTTTTTGATAGTTACTGTAAGACCCCCAACTGAAAGTGACAGTGAATTGCCTTTTTTTCTCATATATGTCTATGTTCTTATCGATTTTGTGCATCTTGAAATGAGCTGTTTACCAAATGGTTTGATCTATATATGTTGAAAGCTGGTTTGGTAATATCGATGGAAAAAAGCTGATCCAAAGGTGGCAACCATAAATGGCAACCACGGGCTCATCCTCATTATTTTCCTGTCTGGCTGATGATAGTAATGAACCCTTAACAAGCCACAGATATAGTGTTTAGGCTTTGGATATGCAAAATTGAATGCAAGGCTGTAGGAGCAAGCCTACATGTTTATGTTGTCTCCGCATTAACCATCGATGTTTATGTTGCTACAACACTTCATTGGTATCTGACACACTAATATCACATTCGAATTCGAAAAACATATATTTAAGTGGGATTAGATCTTCGGATAGCCTATACTTCTATAGCACGTTTCAAAATGCCCCAACCTAACCATTTGCAACTATGACCCTTGTCCACTGCCCCATTGTCGTCGCCGTCTTGCCCCCCTAAAACGACTAGACTCCCTCAGCCACTTCTTTCAATATGACTACTATTAAAATTGTTTGATATCATGTATCATCACTTTCAAAAATATGATCAATTGCAAAAGAACTTTGGAAGAGTGAGAAAAGTCAGAAAAGCTAGTGAGGTGTATTCTCTTTTTCTACCTCGATTCCCTCTCCCTTCTCTCTGAGCTGGAAGTTTCGGTGGCCGCACCACTGTCATCAACGCCGTCAGACGTTGGCCGCCACCTCCGTTGGCCGTTGACCACCGAAACTTCAAGGTGTGCTCGCCTCGACGCTAGCAACAAGGTTTTAGGCTTCGTTTCATGAGGGATAGCCTACATCACAGTAGATCTACGTCGACACCCACCGAATCATCCGTCGTCACCGGTGGTAGTTGAGCCACAAACACACTTGGTGGACTCGCACTGACATTGGTGATACAAATCTGAACTTGGATTCGTGAAAAAAGGCATCCAGCTGCACAAAAACCACTGAGATCATTTCGGCTTAGAATGTTCCGATCTCCTTCGGTAGCTGTTGGATCGTCTCGGATCCGAGGTAGGTTCCCGGGGATATACTATGCATATTCACCTTTGGGATTAGCAAAAGAAGAGGCAAGACTTCGGTTAATGACTTCGTCTGAGAACTCTGATTCAAGGATGGCAGCTAAGAGTCGAATACGGTTTCTACAATCACAACCGGGTAACAAAATTTGTGTAGATTGTAAAAAAAATCCACAGTGGGCTTCAGTAACCTACGGTGTTTTCATGTGCTCAGAGTGTTACTGCAAACACCAAGGCTTAGGTGTACATATCTCGTTCGTTCAATCTGTTACCATGGATTCGTGGTTAGACATTCAAGTCAAGAAAATGGAATCAGGTAGCAACGAGAAGCTCAACGCTTTTTTGGCACAATATGGTGTTCCTAAAGAAACCGATATCGTTACTAAGAATAACACTATTGCTGTGAGTATTTTTCGTGATCGTATGCAAGCTCTCGTCGAGGGTCGTGTATGGAAGGATCCACCTGTTGTGAAGGGAACTGTTAATGGTGGTTCTAGCGGTAATCAGAAGCAATTGACAAGTGCTTTTAGATCGGGAAAATATCACGGTGGTAGAATGGGAGGTCGAGTGAGGACAAGTATATGAGATCTCGATTGGAGGTTTTTTCGGTGAATAAGGAGACTTTTTTTGCGAGCAAAATGGCGGATAATGAATCTAGGCATGATGGTTTGCCTCCTTCACAAGGAGGGAATTATGGGATTGGGAAGTTATCTTTAGTAGAGGCATCAGCAGCTCAACCTGCCTCAGATGTTGTCCACGCTGGAACCAAGGAGTTCACCGCAAAGGGGTGTTGTGATAACAAGTCTGGTGAAGTAGCAAGAATTGGGAGAATCGATTTTAATAATTGTTGGAAGGAAGGCCATACAAAAGCAGTAATGGGTACAGAAGTGGATGCTACACGTTATTCATTGAAAACTTACTAGAGAAGATCCATTGGAAGAGGTTTGGATCTTTATTTTGCACTCACGGTCATGTAATTGATGTCTTCATTCCTAACAAAAGAAATTCGAAAGGGGTTCGTTTTGGGTTCATTAACTTTGCAACAATTGAAGAAGCAAGGAAAGCGATATCAAAGATGAATGGTTCTCTTATTAACGACAGCAAAATTAGTCTCTCTTTGGCTAAATATAACCCTCGACAGTCTTATTGGAGAAAGTCCTCGACAGTTGTTCACCATAAGTCTGGGATGGAAGTTGTTTCGATGAATAATCACTGTGAAGTTGAAGGTGTTGTGGACGAAGATAAAGTTCAAGCGTTGAGTAACTGTCTAGTGGGGTGGTGCAAGAACTTTATCAAAATCAGTAATCTTGCTAGCCAAAGGACTCGCTGGTTTCACATTAATGAGAGCTGCTGGAAATGTAGTTCTAATGATTTTTGAAGATTCTGCTTCGTTGAGAAGTGCGAAGAATGATAAATCAGAGACTCTTGCAAAGTGGTTTTCCAGAGTTGAAGCTTGGCGAGGGGGTCCTTTTTCACGCTTAGAATTGGGATACTTTCAAAAACATTGCAGCTAAGTGGGGCAAATTATTAGCAATCGACGACAGTTGTCAATTTCCATCGTCTTTTGATCGGGCAAAAATTCAAATCGTCACAAAGGCTCTAGTGAGAATTGATGAGTCGTTGGAGTTGAAGGTCGGTGCTAATTTCTTCAAAATCATGGTGCATGAAATCGAGCCTTCCTTCAAGCCAAATTTTTGGGTCCCTGAAGATGTCGATAATTCATTAGAACTTGTTTCTTCATTTGGATCGTAACTGTTCTTTTAGTGGAGTTTTATCCAGAGGCAGTTCATTTAGTTTTAATGGTTGTAAGTGTTGGTTTTATGTTTTGTTATGTTCTTTTGCGTTTTTTTTTCCTTTTGCTGGAGGTGTATTATAGAAATAGGGTTATTGTTTTTGGGGCTTTGTGGTTGAGGATGAGAGATTTTTAGGTGATTTGGTTTTTTTATAATGGTGTATATCCCCGTATGAGGGTATTCGGTGTTTTCACATGTACTGGGTGTCCTATTTAATATATTATGAGGAACTCTTTTCTTCCTTCCAATGTTCGTCAACATACTTCTTAGTATGTGGAAGAATACGAAGGGAGTTTTTAATGAGACCTCCAACTTTTATAAAAAAAAAACAATATGATCAATCAATTATGTATAAATTTCACTATCAAAATAGACCTACAAGGATTTTGATATTTTCTCTCTCAAACTTGCTGATAATTTCTTTTTCTTAAAAAACAATTAGGATATTGTGATGAACAAAAAAATAATGTGATGATGGATTTAAATCCAACCGCTGGATCGTCTGACCTTATGTTTTGCAAAGAATACATATTTTCCGCCAAAATTCCCTTGATTTTCACGCTTTCCAAAAGAATCCATACTTTTCCTTCTGCTACTACATTCCCTACTTATGATATCTTCAAAATGCAAAGAATAAGTGAACCCCTATCTTTATCTTCCCTTCACTAATTATATTTACTTTTTTCCCCAGCATCCAACATTGTTTTCTTTCTCTTCTCTGGAAAATATTCCCAGGCGTCTTTTGTTAGCCTCTTTATCAGTTTTATACTCGTTTCATGTTATTGGCCACTTTCTACTTGTTTGGTTGAAGGTATAAAAATGATGGAAGTATTGAATTGAACATTATACTGACAGTCAGTAGTACATTATTTTAGTTCTTTTGTTATGTTTTGTTGGGTTGTTTGTTTGTTTTTTTTTTTTATATAAATCACGAGTGAATACAAGGAGGTATATGTTCAAATAGTAACAACCATTTGACAATGAATGCCCATACCCCTGACATACCTTCGAACCTGAAACCTCAAGGAATGATAACAAGTCACTTAACCATGGAGGTCACTTGGTTCGTGCTTGTTGGGTTGTTTGTTGAATTTGAAAGACTGGGATATTTGTTTTGATGCGGTGATAGATGATTGCTTGAGAAAAAGTTGTGATTCTAATAAGCTTACAATTTGAAATTCATGGTTTATGTTACTAGGCTTAAAAAGTAGTGGAGTTTAATGGTAATATTTATATATAGGTATTTGGCTTGATTCAGCATAATGAAAATTGTGGGTTCTTTTAGTGCATAACAGTGAACCTTCACTGGCATAACTCATCATTTTGAATCTTTAATTTATAAAGTCTCTCTTTTTCCCATAAGAATTCATGTGAAGCTATATGACAAGTTTAACCATTGGTTTGTATATTGTTTCAGAGACTTTGAAGTTTCTTTTTTTCTTCAATTACAATGGCCTCTTCAACATTATTTTCCATGTCCTCGTTGAAAATGGAGTCTTTTGATATAAAGGCGATAAATTTGAATAAAGAGTTCAAATATATTACTTCGAATCTCCTTAATAGACTACCTGTTAAAGCCATGTCATCGTCTGGCTTTATTAACTGATGAGAACTCGTTGAAATGGGGACGAAGTGAAAGGCTTTCAAAGAATCGGATGCGATGTTGTGTTGTGGAATTCGAGAAGGTGCCTGCATAAACGACCGGAAAGAAGTTTCAACTCGATGATGCAATTGAAGCTCAACAATTTGATAGAGAAACTCTAAATGCTATATTTTAAGTTGCATAAGAGATGGAGAATATTGAAAAGAACTCACCTGGAGTCAAATTCTCAAGGGCTACCTAATGGCCACCCATTTTTATGAGCCCTCAACTAGAACAGGCTTTCATTCGAGTCTCCTAGAGTCTCGACTCTGAAGGTTTGGTTGATGTTCTTTGAAGTTGTTTGATTATGGTGCTTCTTGTAACCAATGTAGCTTGTTTTGCAGATACTATAAGGACTGTTGAAGGGTACTCCAGTCACAAACTCAATTGATAATATCTTTCTCGAAAGGATCGTAAAATGGAAACATCTTTGATGAAGAATAACCAACAATTCTTATTCTGTAATTGTGATCTAAGATATGGTTTGTCTTCACTCTTTTCTTCTTTTTTGGCTTCTAAGTTCATTATCTATACGGTATATCAGAGTTTGGTTTCTTAGCATAAACAATTGGAATTCTATGTTACATGAATTCGAGGATGAGGGTCGGGTACAGATATGTATCTAGTATGAGTGTGTTTAATATTTTTCAAGATTTTCTTCCTCTTTTCATATGTATATTAGAGCTGTTGAGTAAAAAAGTTTGTTTCTCTTTTGATGTTGTTTAGGTTAGATGTCTAGAGATAGGAAAACTGGATGGTATCAGAGTCGGGCTTGTCGGATATCTCGCCAACGGGAGAACAGTTCGTTCTCTTGCTACGTGCTCTCAAAGTACCAAGATGTTATAATTTACTTCTTCTCCCCCGACATTGTTAAAACAAAGGTTCGTATATAACAAATTGCACTTGCAAGATCTTCATGGCGTGTTTACACTAAACATATATACAGATTTTTAACCCATATTAGTTTGTTCCTGCATCTTGTTTCGACTTTTGCAGGATGACATTAAAGATTATTTGACATCAAGGGGTGTCGAGTGGGAAGAAAGTACTGATTTAATGGAAGTGGCCTCTAAGTGCGACATGGTGTATCAAACACGTATCCAGCGAGAACGGTTTGGAGAAAGAATCGATCTTTATGAAGAAGCTCGTGGCAAGTATATAGTTGACAAGGATGTGTTGAAGGTGATGCAGAAGCAAGGTGTGGTTATGCATTCTCTTCCAAGGCTTGATGAGATCACCGTTGAGGTTGATGCCGATCCGAGGGCTGCCTATTTTAGACAAGCAAATAATGGTCTTTATATTAGGATGGCTCTTTTAAAATTGTTGCTTGTTGGATGGTAGGGGTAGAGCTTTTATCTTGACAACATTTGAGAAATGAAACAGAAAAGCACAAAAACCATTGTTTATTTCCATGTGTTCTCCCGTTTGTTTGGATTCACCTACTTGGCTTGTAAGTCCAGTCTATATAATCTTTTCATAATATGATATTTAATAAGGACTTGTTAGTAAAGCCCACAGTAGTAGTATTGTGTTTATATTATTTTTTTTGTATCATGTTTGTATTATTTTTTCTTATTACAATATTAATATGCAATTCTTTTTGCACATGTTAAAATTTCTTTTTATATATGTATTTTACATGCTATAAATATGTAGCTGTTACTAGTTTGCTCTATGTAGCTTTTGATATTTTATGTTATTTTTAGTGGGATATTTGAAATTTATTATATATTATATATTACTCCATATTTACTAATATAAACAGTAAGTTCATTTAAAAATTTTGCTATGAGAATAAAGTGAAACAATTCTATTTTTTATTAGTCTGAGATGAATAGAAGATAATATTTATTTAAAAAATTCAATTATTTGACAATGAACGTTCAAACACTCAGGCATACGTCGTGCTCGTACCCGAAACAATATTTATTTGCAGGTAAAAAGGTTCAGTCAAGATATAATAAATATGATATTATGACATTGCAGCCGAGCTTCCAAAACCAGTAAAGGATTGAAATTATTAAAACAGTAACAAAGAAGCAATCGTGTTAACACAAACACCTTTCCCACTTAATACATAGGAAAATTGGGATCAACATCAGTGGCCCATGACTCGAGTCCCCCGACAATATCCTTTGCTAAATCGAATCCCATGTTTCGGAGGCATTCGACAGCCCTTTGAGAATCATTACCTCTTCTGCATATTACATACAGGTTGGCTCCCGATCCACTGCCCTCCTCTTGCTCTTTAAGTGCAGAAGAAATCTCAGGTAACCGAGCCTCTAAGCTCGTCAATGGAATGTTCAATGAATTGGGAAGAGAAACTATCTTATAGTGGTGTTCCGGTCGCACGTCCACTAAAACGTGCAGTTCCCCACTTACGACCCTCTCTTTGTACTCCTTACTGGTTATTCTAGAATCCGGGGCGAGTAGTTTCAGCTTTTGTGGAGACTGCATGCAGCAAGTGGCAAACATATTCAAGTCCATGGTTAATTTGGATAACATTAATTTGTTGGGGCATGGTGTATTCATCTCACTCAAAAGTTCATTTTCCAATTGAATCGATTATGATCAAGCTACATCCGAAAATAAATTACAAGTAAAATGCAACCTACATAGTGATTTACGTTTTCTGAACACCGACAAAATATGTGATTAAGAATATGGCCGGCAGATAAGGAAACTTACCGTTGACAATGGCGATTGAGTGAACTTCTCATAATCAAAATCTTTGAAACGCTGTTGGTTAAATGTCGTATTTTCTCCACAAACTTGCATTGCGACGACCTGCATCTTATTTTGACCTAAGAGATAAGAAACTTACTATTAGAAAGTAGCATATATCCGGTAATAGTATTTAATTTTATTTTTTGATAGAAGTTGGAGGTCTCATTAAAAACTCTCTTCGTATTCGTTCACATACTAAGTATGTTAACGAACATTGGAAGGAAGAAAATAATACCTCATAGTTTATTAATAATAATACCCAATACAAAAAACAACACGGAATATCCCCTATGGTGATATACACCATTACAACAAACACCTTAAACTCATATATCCTCATCCAAAGCCATAGTTGAATCACCTTGTTTCTAATTACACCTCCAGCAATAGGATTAAAAACAACGCAAAAGAACATAATACAAAAGCAAAGCAACACCTGCAACCATTTAAACTAAATCAAAGCCACAATTGGAGAGACGAGATCTAATTAGATTCGTCTTCTTCAGGAGCCCAAGAGTTTGGTTTGAATGAAGGCTCTATCTCATGCACCATGATCTTGAAGGAGTTGTCACCAACCTTCAATTTCAACGTCACATCAATTCTCGCATCAGCCTTTGTGAAGACTTGAATTTTTGCTCGATCAAAGGATGATGGTGACTGACAGTTTTCGTCGATTGCTAGTAAATGTCCCCACTTATCGGCAATGTTCTTGAAAGTATCCTAATTCCATGCGTGAAAAGGAACACCCTCGCAAACTAACCATACTCGACGACAATCCATTACCAAACTCTCTGACCAAGCTTCGACTCTGGAGAACCACTTTGCGAGTCTCTGATTTATCGTTCTTCACACTTCTCAATGAAGCAAAGTCTTCGAAAATCATTAATACCACATTTCTAGCAGCTCTCATTAAGGAAAAGCCAGTGAGGCCCTTCGCATGCATTTGTCTAGCGAGATGACCGATTTTGATAAAGTCCTTGCACCACCCCACTAGACAATTGCTCAACACGTGAAGTTTTTCTTCATCCATAACGCCTTCAACTTCACAATGATTCTTCCTCGAATCACCTTTCATCCCGAACTTGCGGTGAACAACTGTCGAGGACTTTCTCCAATAGGAATATCGAGGTTTGAATTTAGCGAAAGAAACACCAATTTTGTTGTCGTCAATATGAGTACCATTCATTTTTGAGATCGCTCTCCTTGCTTCTTCGATTGTTGCGAAGCGAATGAAACCAAAGCGAACTCCTTTTGAATTTCTTTTATTTGAAATAAAAGCATCAAGTACCCGACCTTGGGTGCAAAATAAAGATCCAAACCTCTTCCAATGGATCTTCTCTGGTAAATTTTCAATAAATAACGTGTAGCATCCATACTTGTCATTACTGCACCCCTTTGTGGTGGACTCCTTGGTTCCATCGTGGACACCATCTACTGCAGACTTTTCATCGCAACACCCAGTTTTAACATGCACATGAATACTAGGAGATGCTACAGAAGCTGGATTTGGCATTGGCAATACTGGAGGAACAGGATAACATCCATACTTGTCAAATGCATCAGAATCTGTAACTATTCCTCTTTTAACAACAAGATTCTTTCTTGCCATCTCAATGTGCAAAATGGACTTCAACTTAGCATCAAAAACCATTTCCTGAAGGGCATCCTTGGCAGCAACTGCAAATTTTGCATTTGAGAAGAGCAAAACTCTTAGGTTTTTCTCCCTTGTAGCTCACTTGCGAAGCTTCAAAACCTGGAAGCCATCTCAGTAAATTCTGGAACTCTCTCTTTGACATCTTCAGGCAGACCCGTAATGAAGATAATACGAACCTCGTCATGATGAGAAGGGTGAGATGGCGGAGAAGGCGCGGCTGCAGAGGACGGAGGAGCTTGGACCGGAGGTCTATGCTGGAGAAAATGGTGGATTCCAGCACCCGACATGTGATGAATGACTGTTGAAGTTAAAATCACAGTGACTTGACGAACTTTCCTGGACGAGCGCCCGACAGTGGTGAATGTTGTGACTGTCGGCGAAGAAGAGAAAGGTGGAGGTGATGAAAAGAGTCCAACAGGTAGATCTTGAGCCTGAGGAAAGATGAAACAACGTAGTTGTCCTTCAACCAAAACCTCAGATATGGTTTAGATCGGGAGAACAACTTGGCAGAATCATGACTTGTTCTGTTTTTGTCTAACCGGTCAAAGACTAATTCACAGAGAATTGCAACGAGTTTGGACGCTAGGAAGATGGGATTTGTTCGCGAGTGTATAGCGAGCCCAGTGGTATAGGTGTACTGGCAACGGACGGCGGCGTAAGTCGATGAAAAACGGCGTTTAAATCTGCGCCGATTGAATGACTTTCTCGTAAATCTAATCTCGAAAATGGAATCAGAGTGAGGAGACGATCTTCCTGAGGAAAAACGGCGGCGAACAGATGACGGAGTGTGGCGGCGGACGGCAGGCAACTGTCGACGAACAGCGATGATTAACGTCGGCGGACGGCGATGGTAAAGATGAAATGATGGATGAAAACAAAATCACCTTGAACCAAGAGAGAAGCAGGGGTTTCTCTCACTACGTTTGAAATTCAATAGTATTTTATTTTAAAGTGCAAATTTGCACCAAAGAGTAAATAATGGGTGGATAAGGGACCGTACAATACGAATTCGAGCTGACAATGCATCAAAAAGAAGCATCCGCCCAGAAAGTGGTTCACCAACATCACTTGCTATTTTAATGGCTTCTAGAGCTTGAAGACAGCCAATAATTCCAGGAACTGAAAAGAAATGTTCGGATGCGATGTTGTGTTGTGGAATTCGAGAAGGGCCTGCATATACGACCGGAAAGAAGTTCAACTCAATGATGCATTGAAGCTCAACAATTTGATAGAGAAACTCTAAATGCTATATTTTAAGTTGCATAGAGATGGAGAATATTGAAAGAACTCACCTGGGAGTCAAATTCAAGGGCTACCTAATGGCCACCCATTTTTATGAGCCCTCAACTAGAACAGGCTTTCATTCGAGTCTCCCTGAAGCGACTTGGTGGTGAAGTTCTAACAACTGAGAATGCTAGAGAATTTTCTTCAGCAGCCAAGGGGAGACTCTAGAAGGCAAACTCTCTTTACCTTTTGGTTGATGTTCTTTGAAGTTGTTTGATTATGGTGCTTCTTGTAACCATGTACTTGTTTTGCAGATACTATAAGGACTGTTGAAGGGTACTCCAATATAATCGTAATGTGGCACTTTAAAAGTGGTGCGCTAAACAAGCAGCAGCTACGCAAGCATTCCTGTCCATCAATGCCGGTGATGGTCCGGGTCAACATCCAACCCAGGTAACTTCATTGCTCATTTCCTTTGAATCCTCAGGTAGTCACAAACTCAATTGATAATTCTTTCTCGAAAGGATCGTAAAATGGAACATCTTTGATGAAGAATAACCAACAATTCTTATTCTGTAATTGTGATCTAAGATATGGTTTGTCTTCACTCTTTTCTTCTTTTTTGGCTTCTAAGTTCATTATCTATACGGTATATCAGAGTTTGGTTTCTTAGCATAAATTGGAATTCTATGTTACATGAATTCGAGGATGAGGGTCGGGTACAGATATGTATCTAG